TGGCGCCTGCAGTGGTACTGCTGTATGCACTGTGCGTACCACGAGAAGGCGGGAATTAATGCAGCTTTTTATTGCGTCCCCACACGATGTGGGGATACTCCAGGCCCAGCCTAAGCCTGTGCAGCCTCCTTGCCTGGAATCGCTACCATTCAAGGTGTTTTACACAACTTTATCTGATAGACTGGCACAAGTAAGCAGACATCTTCATTCTCACAATGAGTTTCTGAGTTCTCTAACCCTTCCAAAAGAGTTTTTTCTTCTGAGGTAATCTGGAAACACTTCAGTGCTGCTGCGCATATTTTGTAAAGACCTGTCCTGCTTATTCAAATTACTTACTTGTTTAAACAAGTTAAATTGTAATTGACCGCCACAGCAGATGGTTTTGTAAATAACAGTGAAAACTGTAGAAGTTAATTATAGGCTTTTCTGAAACTGAATATTTTACTTTAATTTTATTTAGGCTAGATTATTATTTTATTTAACAAACCAGTTAGTATTTTGGTGCTGAAGCATTTAGCAGACTGGTTTTAAAGCACTTCACCTATGATGTTATTCGTTATTCTTGTTTATCTAGTAGATAACTGATCAACAAAAATATATTAATATTAAGATACAAGGATGTGCTTTCATTTTTTTTTGTCTCAGTCGTGGTAATGCCCTTAAACAATGTAGCCTTTGACAGCAAGCATTAGTATTTATTTAGATTGAAATAAGAATAAGAGATGATGGGGCGAGGTGGTGCTGGATGTCTGCGTAGCAGGCGCTTCTGGTGTCACTCATATAAAAGTCTGGTTGTTCATGAAAGGCAAATGCTCAATAGGACAGGATAATGTAAAGAATCTAGCCCGATCTCATGAGTAATACCAACTGTTCGAAAAGTGACAAATACATACGAATTCATGTCATTTATTTCTGAAACTCAAATGACCCTAATCGAATATTTATGAATTGCTGTGAGATTTCATTGGAAGAATCTCAATGGGCTATCAGTTTAACATCAATCAGAAGGATTTGCTTGCAGTGCTGAACAGGGTAAAGATCTGTGTCTATCTGCATTCAGTGTCTTAAAGAGAATTGAGCTGAATATGCCCAGTCTGCAGTGACCAAACCTTTCATCAGCAGAACGATTCAAATGACTAGTCTTTTCTGAGGAGCATTTTGTGTGTGGTCAGAGAACTGGTTCAGAGTTAACTTTTAATGATGAAAGCTAGTTTAATTTATGTAATACATGTTTGTCGTCAAACTGGGGAAAAACTAATGCAAAGTACAGTATGTCTAGAAGTCATTGGCTATGTTTTCACGCCTATTTTATGTGCATAATGAACAATTAGATAAGAAATGCTTAAATTAAACGTTGAGATGCATATCTATTAAAAGAATGGGCAATAAAAACTTGTATGCACTGAATAGGATAAACTTTTATCTTATCCAAAAAGAGAAAAATGTGTGTTACTAAGCTACAATGGTAACACATTTATGGAATTAATTCAAGCATGTGCCACAAAAAAGTATTGTGTAGATGGTATGGCATTAATAAACAAATCGTATCCAATTTCTGTATCATTACCTCCCACTCTTGAGCAGCTGCACTTCTTAAAGAGCCCATATTATGGGTTTTTGAAAATTCCCCTCCATGTAGTGTGTAACACAGCTCTAAGTGAAGCGAAGTATCCAGCTAAGGCTTAAATCTGTAAGAATACAGTGTTTAAAACGGTTGATTCATCTATAAAAGAGTCGACTCATAGTGCTTCAAACGAGTCGCCTTGATACCGACTCATTAGGTGTTTCGCCATGACGTACGAACGAAACAAAGTTATTCACGTGCACGCGCAAACCCGGGAGATTTCAAACCTGAGGCCCCGCCCTCTGACGCAGAAACCCAGACACACACCCACAAACACACGCACACCCACAAACACACGCACACAAACATGCCGGTCGATTGAAGTCACACTGCAGATGGATATATTGAGTCTCTACCCAAAGATGAAACCTCAGCATTATAACCAAGCAGTTGGAAACTTCTGGAAGCTACATGCTACAAAGAATACTTCATCTGAGTTTGTTAAAGGAAGGATCAGTAAAGAGTAACTGATGGACGTCAGGATGGGTTTCTTCCATTTCTCAAGTGTAAGTACGTGCGGTTAAAGTTGTTGCCTCGTTTACTCTTGCTTGCAAATGTATTTAGTTGTGATTTGTTACTTGTAACCGCGTGTACTGTATCAGGTTAACTGGATATTTGATCTTATCGCGTGCAAAGTCACGTTAAAAACGCGACGCGTGCTGTTTGTTTATGGAGCTCCGTGCTAGAGTTCTGCTCCCGCGATTTATTCGGAAATTTATTCCCGCGCCGCAGAAATCTGGCGCGGGGACAGCCGCGGGAATAAATTTCCGAATAAATCGCGGGAGCGGTCGGTAACGGGTTTAATTTGGGACGGGAGCGGGCTGTCTAGCAATATCACGGATATTGCTATGCGAATTAGAAAGAGAGAGTCTGCGTGGTGCTTGTGTGTGTGTTAGTGCGCACGCGCGCGTATGAGAGAGAGAGAGAGCGAACGAACGAACGAACGACAGCTTGGCTGTCTGGACTGTATACTGGGTGATTTTTGGTTGTGTTCTCCGCTCTAGCGGGACCGGGCGCGGCGGGCAGAAAACGGAGCGGGTTCTCAGGCTAAAACCTGGCGGGTGCGGGCGGAAGCGGGAGCGTTGTCATCCGGAGGTGTGTGTGTGTTTTTGTGTGTGTGTGGTATGGCGAGTACACGACTGTCTCCTTCGTTCGGTTATCCGTGGCACTATCCACTCGCCATAGTGTGGCAGCTAAAATCCACGTCTATACTATCGAGCGTGTATGAACTGTGATTACTTTTTAAATTGCTGATTAGCTATTGGCCATTTCCCTCTCTGACTGAAGGCAGTCGACCAATCGCGACAGACTGTCATCGGTCCAATCAGCGCAGATTAGCTCCGCGCTAAGGAGGGGTTTGGGAACAAATGAATCACTGGACGATTCATACAGGAGTCGCTGGGATAATTAGGTAAAAATAAATGCAGATTATAAGACCATGAAAGTGTTTTTTGACCTTGCATGCATATTAGACTGTTGTTGGAGACCCTTACAACCAGGATATGACCCTATTTCATGTATAATATGGGCTCTTTAAGAGAGGTCTCATGCCTTCAAGAGCCAGTTATGGCTGTATTCATTGCATTTTGCCTTCTGAGGTGCATGCAATTTATTATGTAAGAAAAAAGGCCCACAGTAGCCTCTCTTAAGGCAGCCAATTTATTTATTTTTATTATTTGGCACCAGTTTATTATGAAGTGACAATTTTGTTCTATTTGGAAACAATAGCTGTGTCCCAAATGGCACACTATACACTATGCAGTAATGCACTATGTACTTATGCACACTCAACACAACAGCATAGTATATGTATGTCGTTCCAAATGGAACACAGTTTTTTTTTACTAAATGGAAATTCAAACTATTTCCGGTATGACGTTTGACGGTTTCCAAATTAGCTACTGTAAATAAATGACCAAACTACCAAATAATACTTACTGGAGGCAGTATTATCACTCTCATAGGAGAAGTTTGCTTTCATGATTCAAAATAAGCCATGTAATCCAACATCAATGCCTGACAGCTCTGCCCCTTCCACTATGTGAGCAAAGCTATGAAGTGTCCATCATTCTACGCTTAATTTTAACGGTTAAATAAGTGCATCATCCGGGGTAATTAAAGTGTGATTTTTATTATTTTTTTGGGAGTATTGTGTGAACACTCTACTTACACTATTTATACTGTAAAACGGCGTAGAATAGTGCATAAGTATGCGATTTGGGGCGCACTTTATGCTTTATCTGTATATGTTTTATGTGATATTCCAGTTTTTTGCACATGAGTTTAATTTGTGTTTTTGGATGGAAACATAGATAGCCAAAAGTGGAGAAGTAAATATCTTGGTTTGGGAGAAGTTGGGCCTCTTATAAAGCTACATGGCAGAGTGAATGTAAAATGTTAATCAGAAGCTCCTTCAGCAACATGTGGTTTCTTCTCTGTGCCCTTTGTCGCATCAACCATCAATTTTAATGTGATGAGGCCTTGTCACACACACACACACTGTAAAAAATCCAACTTGAAAAAGTTTAAATTACCTCTTTTTTTTTTTTTGGCAAAACAGAGCAAAAAATAATGATTATATAGATATTTTTTGGCCTAAAATTGTTGCAGGGCAGCAAAATGAATTCGTTAAAGATGAAAACAGTGAATTAATGAAATGACCAGCGCAGTGTTCTGATTAAACTTGAATGGAAGTTACAACAAAGTTATGGCTAAGAAACCCACTGTAGTTAATGAACTGTATAAGAGACCGAAAAAGAGCTGATAAAGTTTGCAACAGACCATGGTGAGAGAGCAGTAACAGTATGTCCTATGGCTGCATATATGTTGATGTCATCAAAGTAAGGGGCTTTATTCTTCCTTCTCATTTCTGCCTGCTGTAACATTCATATATATATATATAGAATTACTAGCCCCCCTTTGAATTTTCTTTGTCTTTTTTAAATATTTCCCAAATTATGTTTAAAACAGCAAGGAACTTTTTACAGTATGTCTGACAATATTTTTTCTTCTGGAGAAAGTCTTATTTGTTTAATTTGGCAAGAATAAAAGCAGTTTTGAATTTTTTAAAAGCCATTTTTAAGACAAAGTTATTAGCCCGTTTTCTGAATTTTCGTATTCTTATGTGAAATACTGAAGACACATTATTAGTACTTTTAGAGCAAAAATTAGTCTTATACACAAAAGATGTATCTATTAATGGCATATCCAAAGAAACCAACATAATTCTAAAGTGGTCTTTTTCTTTTATTCCCTAGACTTATTAGCTGAGCCTTGAAGTTGCCAGGTCCCTGATTGTTAAACATTTCAATATGATGAAAATGAATGAATGTTATCCTCAATGCGTTGTGATTTTAACCTCCCACTTTTTCAACAGCAATGACCATGGGCCATGCAAAATATCCCAAGATGCAGTACTGTTGATGGAAGCCCACGCTCACCTTACAAGCAGCTTGCAGTCAAAAGAGAGACTTCTGCTGCTTTTCACAGATTCTCTTATCATCGCCAAAACTAAGTATGTAAATGTATCAGTGGGTGTGAGTATGTGTTCTCATGTGTTTGAATTCGCTAAGGGTGCGTTGTGTGTATTGCTTGTTTCAGGTCCCTGTATCTAAAACTGAAGGCTCAGGTTAGTCTCTCAGACATATGGCTGGCATCCTGTATCCACTGCGTTACAGACAGGAAGCTCACCTCCAAGAATTCGTTCGTGATTGGCTGGCCGACCACCAATTATGTTGTCACTTTCAGGTAGGGTTTGAAAAACTCTTGTAAAATCTGAAATAGCAGACCAGACTGATGTTTTTTCATGAGATTTTTCTACGAATTTCAGATGTGCTGAGGAAAAAGAATTGAGATCCACCCACACTGCTACTGATTTGATCATAAAACACAGTGATGAGGGGCAGCAAATTCTCATATAAAGATCACATTTTCTGGCATAAATATACATGGACACACACTCTTCCAAGCTCAGCACGACTCTGTTCTTCACAGAGCTAATTATGTTTTCTTTTATACTGTTTAGCAGTTATACTGTTATACATGTCAAAACCAACACAAGGTAGAACACACAATATACCACCAATTACAGGATTAAAATAATAAATAAGAATAAAAAGAATAACATTTTCAGTAGACATATTCATGTGTATATTGAGAGTAGGTCAAAACCCCGGAAATTAATTTGCCATCAATTATAAGACTGACAACACTGAGAATGCTGTAAGTAATTTAATATCAGACAGAGTGAAGTAGTGACCTTTTGATTCCTCTAATGTATATTGTGTTCAAAACTATATATGGCGTAGTGCGAAAATGATGTAGTGGTAAAAGGAAGTTGAGTTAAGTTCAGAGTTTCTTCTTTTTTAAGGGGTGGTCCAGAGTGTATTTTTAAAGCTTGGTTGTGTACTTAAATGTAAAGCAATGTGTGCTTAAGCTTTATTTGTAAAAAATCACGTTAATTTTACATATATATATATTAATTTGATTCTATACAACATGAAAACAGCTGTCAAATTTCATAGTTCCTCCGAACGACCTGCTCTCAACAGCCTCTGATTGGTCAGCTAACATAATTTGCTGTGATTCGCAAAATGGCTACATGCCACAAGGAAAAGCATCAGGCCTCTAACAGCCTTCAGTCAGTCAGAGAAGCTGTTAGTCGGATCAGTTTGAGCCTGGATCAGACAGAAAATAAAGAGGACACAGCTGAACCAAATGCTTGCTCTGTAAAATTAAGTCTGAAAAGTGTCTTTTACATATTTAGGACATGAGCATCATGTATAAGTAATATGAAACGTCCTCTTATCTTTTGTGAGTTTGTTATTTGAGATTTAGAATGCAGAGAAAGCAGTCCACATAAAGAGACACTGCAGGGCTGATGAAGATTGTGGGTGTTTACAGCCATTAAAAAATGTGGGTGTTTACAGCCGGATAGATAAATTTGTGTAGCTAAATTGTTAGCAGTGCCAAACAGCATTTCCTGTTGTTTACATCCTTGTTTATGTCCTTGCTAGAGCATTCTATTAACGCTAGAAACTACGCATGTGATGGATCAATTTGAACAAATAAAAATACTCACAGGTTGTGGCCTAAAATCCACAGCTTCATCTATTATGGTTGAACTGCTCCTTCTTTGAAGTGTTTAGTTGAATCCAGCACTGAACTGAGAGAGATTCTGAATTCTGTGTCAACTACTAGCTATATATATATTTTTAAATTGTCTCCAGTGTAATTAAAATTAAACTGTAAACGCCACTGTCTTTGTGTCGTGTCCTTTAGAAGGCCAAATATAAAAAAAGAACAATTTCTGTGAAAATAGCAGCATTTCGATGGCATTTTAACTTTCTTTGCTATAACATGATCTGGCCACGCCCCGTGAATGCGCTTAACCTGTAGCATTTGTGATCTTATTAACCCTGATGTATTTTTGTAGTCCACAAACTTTGTTTGCGTAGGCTTTGCTAAACTATCAACATCAACTAAACTTTAAAATATAATATCATAGTGGACCACCCCTTGAGCAGTATATTATGAGGGAAATGTGGAAAAGTAAGATGAAAGTTTTGAAAGTCTCATCTGCATTTGTTTGACAGATGAAACACTTTTTAAGGAAATGAAGGAAAGGGTTTGTGTCTTTTATCTGCTCTTGCTCATGAATACGAGATCTGCATCTGAATGTAGTGCGATAATTTACAATGTCATGTTCACTTTTGTGAGTGGCTAGAATACATAAAGGAATATGTAATTACAAAAGCTTTTTTTACACCCTTTAAGAGCATTTGGGGAATGGAGCACTGTTTTTTGAGGGGTTTTAAATCAAAGTGAACAACTGAATCTTTTCACAAAAGCCTTCCTTAGACTGGCTATCCAAAATCATTTCGTATGTTTGTCTGTTCAGAATATTTAGCAAGTTTGAAAAGCAAAAATGGGGCGGCATGGTGGCACAGCCTAACAATAGAAATCAATAAATGCAAAAAGTTTGTTTAGCCTAAAAGTTACTTTAACTCAATGAAAAAGAGTTACAGTAACCAATCAACTTATTATATTAAGCAGAACTCTAATCGAATGAGTTATGAATTAATTAATTATATTTTTTTAGGTAACTCTTATGCTAGAAGGAATTCAAACTATTTCAGTATAGCTTTATATTTGTTTGGACTTAATTTAAGTTAATTGAACTAATAGTGATTTAATAACTGAACATAAAATGTTCAAGTTGCTAATACTCTAAAAGTTTGATGATATCAACACATGTGTATGTGACAGTATATAAGTTTACAGTACTCAAACCATTTTGTTTCAAAACTTAAATGGTTTGCCACACTTGGCTTCCTCAAACAGTTTGAGTTAACTTATCATTTTTTCAGTGTAGTGAAAAGGGAACACACACAATATATCTTATTAATTAATCACAATATGCATGTGTTATTACAACCTCTTCACTAACAATAATAAGAGATTTGTTTAATTAAAAAAAGAGAATGTGATGATAAATGCTACTTGGTATTGTTATGGTGTTTCAGATGCAGATAATGAAACATCTTTGTTATTCATTTCTACATTTACTAGGTACATTTTGAGGGAAATATGCCTAGCTTGTTTATTAGTGCCTGTTTTGAAAGCTCTGCCCTTTAGAGTGAGTAGAGCAAAACATGTTCATTTCCCATTGGAATTTGCACATCCATTCACAAATGCACAAATTGATTTCACATGCTCTTCATTTACAAATCCAGGTGCTTTAAAAGGGCACGAAAGGATTTTTTAAATTCAGAATCCGCAATAGGATGCACAAATACATACTGTGAGATATTATTCTTTGCCCTCAAGGTATCTGTTAAAGTCCCAATAAAGCATAGCATTTAGTTGAAATAGCTATTCAAACTTCTTGTGGTGTTTGAATTATTAACATTTTATTAAAAGAAGTACAAACATATCATCAGGAAATTATACCTGAACCAAATATTACATTATTTATGTTGCGCATACAGTTGAAATACAGTTGTATGTACAGTTAAAAGTTTATACAGTGTTGAAAGTTTACATACACCGTATAAAAAGGCACATAACCATTTAAAAAAAAGTCAGATGTTAATGTGACTAAACTTTTTCTCTTCTCGGTAAGTTAGGATTATCATATTTTTCTGTTATGCTTAATAGCAGAATAACGGGAGAGATGTTTTTTGAGAAATTGTTATAACTTTTCTTGAAAGTCAAAAGTTTACATACAAGAGATTATTATGCCTCTGAAAAGGATGGTGTCAAGGTTTTGGAAGTTTCTGATTGGCTAATTGACATTGAGCTAATTGGAGGCACAACTGTAGACTAGTATTTAAGGAAAATCTCAAGCACACTGCTTCCTTATGTGACAACATGGGAAAATCAACAACCCAGAATTATCAAAAAAAAAAGCCAGATTACAATTTGCTACATTACACTGGGACTGTTTGATGGAACTAAGATTGAATACTGAAGCAACAACAGACATCAGCCTGTAAATTAAAACTTGGTCACAAATGGGTCTTCCAAACAGACCATGTCCCTTAGCATACAGCTTAATTAGTTAAAATGTGCTTTAAGGACAACAGAGCGAATGTTTTGGAGTGGCCATCACAAAGCCCTGATCTCAATCCCATGAAAATTTGTAGGCAGAGTTGGAGAAAGCTTGTGTGAGGAAGACAGCCTACAAATCTGACTCAGTTACACCAGTTATGTCTGGTTTAATGGGCCAAAAATCCTTTAAACTATTGTGAGAAGCTTGTGGAAGGATACCCTAAAAATTTGACCAAAGTTATACAATTTAAAAGAAAAGCTAAAAAAATACCAAGGAAATGTATGTAAACTTTTGACTGTCTAGAAATCAATAAAAAAATTCTCCCAAAAAATTGTTCTCATTATTCTGGCATTTAGAAAATGTAAATCATTTAGGTAATCCTAACAGACCTAAAATAGTAAGCGTTTAGTATGATTTAACACCAGACATTTAAAAAAAAATGGTTATCTTTCTTTTTTTTTTTAGAGTGAATGTAAACTTCTGGTTTTAACTCTATATATAGTATATTTTTTATGTATCTGATATTTATTATACTGGCTTATAACTGTGCATGCAAGAAAATAAGTAATAAGTATATAAATTAATAAATAAGACACCAGTTTAAAAACCAACCCAGTTCTCAAAGGTAATATACTGTAGGCGTGATTTACTCTTTATTATTTAATCTAATTTCATTAACAAAGTCAAAACAGCTACGGAAAATTGAACTTGAGCTAATTTTCTGAGAGGAAATTTGGCAAGACATTATAAATAAGATTCACTCAACTTCAATTTGTCTGTGATAAACAATTATTCAGTTTAATGTTGTCTATCGCCTACATTGGACAAAAGCAAGATTAGCTAAATTTTCACCAACTATAAATTCTTTAATAGATGTGAAGTAGCTAATCACACACCACACACACGCACACACACGCACACACACACACGCACACACACACACACACACACACACACACACACACACACACACACACACACACACACACACACACACACACACACACACTGATACTGCTTAAATCTTTTTAAAGTTTTATTGAGCAAAATGTTAATAAAAAGATCTGAACAAATAAATAAATAAATAAATAAATAAATAAATAAATAAATAAATAAATAAATAAATGTATATATTATTGAGTGATATTATGAAGTGCTTTGAAGATATAATGCACTTAGAGGGTGCTGGAAAAGCCAGCTGAGGTGAAGGATAAAAAGGCTGCACTTATGTTTTATGGCAGATTCACTTGCTTTCAAAAGAAAATAATAAACAACAAGCACAGGTTCATGCAGGCTCAAACCTGCTTTTAAGATTGTATGAGAAGAGTGTTGCTTTCTGCCCTGGTATTCAGAAAAGTGTCTTCAGGTTTTGTCCTTGCCAGTCTGGTCTGGTCTTTTTTTGTTCTTTTTTTTTTTTGTTTTGTTTATTGAAAAGTTTTATCTATGTGCTCTTTAGTATTAAATACTATATAGACTGTAACAGAAATCCATTATTTATGTTTTTTTCTGGCAGCCGAACATAGAGTAACCCATAAAAACATAAAATAACAGAAGTTAAATTAATAAATTTTGTTAAGTTTAAATTTCTGGTAAATTTCTGTTATTTACTGTCTGTTTTATGGATGAGTCTGTAACTTAATGGCTCATCATTTATGATTTTTTTCAGCACCCCAGCTGCCGGAATAAAAAAGTAAAATAATGGATTTTTACAGTGTAGTCTTTATACTCTACTCTTTAAAGGTTTTGTTTTCGGGTTGTGTCATTTTAAATGCTCAGTCTCGCTATGAGCTGATCTTAATTTTTCGGTGTTTGTGGAAAGCAGGTGAGTCAGCCAAACCAATATATGAGCATGCAGAGGAGGATTCTCGCGATGAACACCAGTGAATACCGCTCTTTGTTATGAGCTGCAGTTTCAGTGTAAACTTAGTAAAGACGAGCTTCCTTAGCGATGATGTATACAGTATTAGATTCTACATTTAGCGAACATTTGCGCTGAACACGCAGTGAATACAACGCATTGAGATTCGGACGCCTTCTCCAAAAACTCTCAATTGGACTCAGCTGGCGGATCAATGTTCACCACATGTCATGATCACTCTCATCTGCTCCTTTATTATTATTATTTTTATTCATTCGTTCATTGATTTTCTTGTCGGCTTAGTCCCTTTATTAATCTGGGGTCGCCACAGCGGAATGAACCGCCAACTCCAGCAAGTTTTTACACAGCGGATGCCCTTCCAGCCACAACCCATCTTGGGGAAACATCCACACACTCAAACATACACACACTCACACACTATGGACAATTTAGCCTACCCAATTCACCTGTACCGCATGTTTTTGGACTGTGGGGGAAACCGGAGCACCCAGAGAAAACCCACAAGGCAGGGAGAACATGCAAACTCCACACAGAAACACCAACTGAGCCGAGGCTCGAACTAGCGACCCAGCGACCTTCTTGCTGTGAGGCGAGCACTACCTACTGCACCACTGTTTCAAATCAGTTATTAGAAATGAGATATTAAAACTATTATGTTCAGAAATGTGTTGAAAAAAATCACTTATTTAATAATTCTGACTTCAACTGTATATTGTAAACTTATTCATGATGCGAGTGGGTTAACGGATGCCTTATTAAGCGCATAGATGTGTCTTTGTAATAAAAAATATTTCCTAATATTAAATTGTGAATGCACATTCTTGACAACTTCTTGGCTGACTTCTGACTTGACATATAATGCATGATATAGAAATGCGCATTTGGTCTGTATTGATTACTTCAGTTTCATGGCATAATAATGTTAGAGCTTTCTACAGCTAGAATGAATAAGCTTAGAGTCATGGAAACTGACAGAAAAATCTTAAAATGGCAGAAATTAATGTGCTATAACTTGAATTTTTGATCCCCAGTGACTTAGGCGCTACTCTGTCTTACATTTATTTATTTATTTATTTTTTGTGATTTGCTGGCTGTATTATACCGTATTTATATGTATTTATATTCATGTATATATTATATGTCAGTATTTTGTTTGATTGAAATGTTATTTGTAAGATGGTATGTACCATGAACATCACTGGGGTGGGGAGGGGGGGGCGTTTTGTCTGGAAGGGCTTTGGCTGGCTGCGACCATGATGTGGTCAAAGGGTGAATCCATCTGTTTATTGTAAAGAAGATTTGAATATTTTGTGTAACCACATCTTTGTAAAATCAAAAAAATTGTGCATTTGGCAGCTACTGTACCAGAAATCAGTGATTTGAGGAATCTCTGATCAAAAGCCACTTTGGTTGACTATGTGGAACGTGTATGACCAAAATCCCCCTTCTCCAAGCTATTGAAGATGCATGTGGAGATATAGCAGTTGATGCTTTTCATGGCTGGATTCGCCATGCTAGGCGACATTTCCCCCGCTGCTTGGCCAGGGCAAACGTTGCTTGTGATGTGGATGAGCTGCTGTGGCCAGACCAAAACAGAAGAGAGGATGCAACATAGCTGTTGTTATTATTATTATTATTATTATTATTATTATTATTATTATTATTATTATTATTATTATTATTATTATTATTATTATTATTTTACTGTTATTGTATTCTGTAAATACTTCTGTTGATGGTATATGTAGACCACATTATTTATGTGCAACTTTTTGTTGGTTGGGATGAACACTTTGTAGATTGTCTGTTTTTTGTGTGTTTTGTATAAAAGCAATATTCTGAAATATTTTACAGTGCACTTTTATATGGGCATATGTACTGTCTGTAGTAAGTGTAACACAACAAAAAAGGCTTACAGTAAGTCATTATGATAAATGGAAAAGAAGTGGTCATAGTGTTTTACGTTAAGCACATCAGTCATCAACTGGTTCTTATAAATGTCTATTCATGCAATGAACAAAATACAATTTTGAGAAGAAATGACATACAGTAGTTTTGAATGTAAAGTTTCATTTTGCTGGAGAATTTGAGATTTGTCCAATGTGTGCATGTTTTATGATTTGTGTGTAAAGTTCTGACAATATGAAGCATGCTTTCAGAAAATGTGTGTAAACAATTGGGAAAAACTGTAAGAGTAAACTAGGGGACCATTGACATTTTTGGTGAAGTATTCCTTTAAAATGCATCTGTCTAGAAATCTTAATAGTGTTTAAAAGTTGAAGACTTTATAAATGAAAAACTGAAACTAAAACTTACATTGGTAGTACTGTATAATTACACACTATGGATCATTTATTAAGCATTAGCAAATAGTCAATTCAATATATCTACAGTATTAGACATTATAATCATAAGCAGTTTGTAAATACAGCTAAAATGCTCTATTCTTGACTAGTAAGCACATTTATAATGGGGTTAATAATTGTGCTTTCATACTTTGTTAGTGAATTTTCTTTCATTGATTCATTTAATATTGCATTATTTACAAACTAGGTATTTAAGAATAGTTGGTGCTATTTTAAGATCATCCAGAATAAGTTAGTAAATGATTAATAAATTATTCAAATTAACATTTATTGTATCATTGGCATCATTGGCGTAGTAGGTAGTGCTGTCGCCTCACAGCAAGAAGGTCACTGGGTTGCTGGTTCGAGTCTGGGTCAGTTGAAAATGAAAGTTGAAGTTGAACAAGTTGAAGCTGACAAGAAAATAAATTAATGAATAAATGAATTAATGAATACCGTATTATTCAGGCACATAGTAATAATTAATTTGTATGTAAATAAATGCTTTATTAACTCAACTTATCCAGTTTTGTGACCTAAGCTAAAGTGAAGACGCTTATAAATAACAAATAAAGGCTCAGTTAAATTCTAAACAGGAAAAAGAACACAAACTACATTATTGGTTTATTATTTATTTGAAGATACACAAATGAAACTCTATCAATGGAAAAAATAAATCTTTGCTATCTTACCTTAAATAAAATAAGTGCAATTTAAACTTCGCTAAATTACTTTGAAATGTTGTATCGTAATATATTCAATTATTATATTGTTGTTTCATCAGTTTCTATTTAATTGTGTTTATTTCCAATTTTATTTCGACACTCCTGTTATTCAGCAATGTTTGAACTTTACAGTAATTGAATTTTTTTAGATAAGAATTTTTAAATAAGATTTATTGTTTACTAACCCTTTAATTGTCACTTATAAGGGATTTATAAAGCATAAAGAGTCCTTACTTTAGATTATGTCACAAAATTGCATAAAGTTGAGTTAATAAAGCATTTAATAACATACAGAGTAACCATCACTATATGCCTGAAGAATAAAATATACAAATAGTGATTTCAATAGTTTATTAATCATTTACTTACACTTTCTAAATGATTCTAAAAGCCACCAACTACTCTTAAATACCAATGGTTTGTAAATAATGCAATTCTAAATTTAGTAATGAACATATATTAAGTAATAAAGTATGAAATAAAATCATTAATTACATTACAAGTGTGCGTACAAGTCAAAAATACAGCATTGATATCTGTATTTATAAACTGCTTCCTTACGTCAATTAATGTGGAGTTAATGCTTAACAGGTAATGATTTAACTATTTGCTAATGCTTGATAGATGATTTATGGTGTTATTATAGTGTTACCCTAACATTTTTTCTTTATCTCTCTCTCTGCTTGTGCTTTTAAACTTAAGCTCATCAGAAACAAAAGAGAAGTGGTTACGTGCTCTTCATTGGTAAGGAAAAAACTATTTAAAGACTCACACACATATCATAAATACTCTGTTTAAATCGGAAGCATTCCTTCTGTGATACTGCATATTGTGATATTGTTTGACTCCTTTTGTGTTTGTGTAACTTTCTCATTTGTTGCTGTTTGTTTGAAATATCTCATTCTTCAGGCACACCTGCAACGCTAGACAAGGAATCCTGCCAAATGCTATTCTTCTCTATGTCCTGCTAATATGCCAGCCTGATGACAACAGTTCAGCGGTACGCAAGTGCCTGTTGGTCTAATTTGGACCCGAGCCACACCCGGCCCTAGGGAAGCTTAATTCAAGTCTTTGTTTATAAAAGCAGCTTACTTGTACTTAAGCCTGAAGCTTTTCCGTGAGTTGATGGTCAATGTTGTTGTTTGTTTTCATGTTACTGGATGTGAAGACTGTTGCTGTGGCTGTGGATGTGAGCACAACTGCTGAAAATGTGGTTCAGTACATCATACAGCAGTGCAAACTACTAGTAAGTGGTGCCGCTCAGCCTTTGTCATGAGCGCAGTGCATGATACATTAGTCTTTTTAAAGCACCGTCGATCACAAACATCTGGTCCAAAAGAGAGAGGCTCACGCACTTTTTATTGCACCTGTAAGTTGTATTAGTGATGTATTTTGGTGGATATGACTACCAGCACATGTAATGTTGTGGATGCCTTTCTGTTGCTCTTTGATGACCAGTAACTCTACATTGTGCCAAGTTTGTCCACTGGCATTTCCTGTGTTTGATAATAGCCACTTCCTGTTTCCTGTCTCTTTCCAAAACATAATGACCACTTCCTATGTGCAGGGTGAGGTCTCGAACTACCAGCTGTGTGTGAATTATGAAAAAGAAGAGGAAACATACCCCCTCATTGGTAACACATACACGTACATTTACTTATAAATATTCAAATGTGAGCCTAACCCACACTATAAAATGAGTGAGTCTCTATAAAGAGTGTTTTGGGAGATTATGTCATGCTTAGTCATGCTTAGTAGGCCAAATATTTCCCCGAATTTAGATGGGTATGTAGATAGCGCTGTTTGATTAATTGTGTAAGATTTCAATCTCAGTTTAATAACCCACACAGTTTTATTGCTTAATGGCCATGTTTTATCTGTGTTTATTAAATCTTTGAGAGTATAATCAGAGGCAAACATGCAAACTTTAGCTGTGTTAAACATATTATATACACTACTGGTCAAAAGTTTGGGGTCAGTAGGATTTTTATGTTTCAATTTTTCATTGCGAAAAAAATAAATGCCATTTCAGTACAAATAGTTTCATATCATTAGCTTTGTTGTTGTTGTTTTTACAAAAAATAAGAAAAAAAGAAGAAGAGTAAAAAAAGGGAAAAAAAACTAAAAATTATTAATGATGATAATTAAGGGGGAAAATGGAAACGAGTAAATTACAACCAACTGAATAGATTCAACAATCACAATCCAATGTTCAGACACATTGTCAATTTTGAAAGTAAATGTTTACAATTAAACAGTATAAAAGAATAATAGTTAAAAACAAACAAAAATGTATTACTATGAAATAAATAAATTAAAAAGGAAGGAAAGTGCATCTATTAAATGAAAGGCAAGATGTTAAGAGAGATAAAGTAAGTTATAAAACATTGCCACTTTAAAAAAAAAAAAGTTTTTCCTGAGCATCTAACCTTTTCCAACTTTAAAAAATGCATGGTGTCAGTATGGTTTTTGGTTGAAGATTTAAAATTTAAAATTTAAAATTTAAAATTAGCTTCTGCTCACCGAGGCTGCATTTACTCAATCAAAAAATACAGTACAAATTGTAAAATTGAGAAATGTTAGTGCACTACAAAATAACTGATTTAATTTAATTTAATAATTTATTCCAGTGATTTCAATGATGAATTTTTAGCTTCATCCTTTGTCACATTATTCTTCAGAAATCATTCTGTTTATTATTATTATTATTATTATTATTATTATTATTATTGTTGTTGTTGTTGTTGTTGTTGTTGTTGTTGTTGTTAATGGTAATACAGTAGCAAAAATGCAATAATGACTGGAGTAATGATTTCATTTAAAACTACATACAATGAAAAAGCAGTTATTTAAATTTGTAATAAATATTTAACCATTTAACTGTTTTTATTAACATTTAATAAACACCACCTTGATGAACAAAAACATTAAAAAAACATGAAAAAACTAAAAGCTGATTTTTTTTCCTCATATTACATATTGTCGTACTAGTTGGTCACAACTATCCAACTTATCCAACTTATCCAGCAAATTTTTACGCAGCGGATGTCCTTCCAGCCGCAACCTATCTCTGGGAAACATACACACACACTCATACACTACTGACAATTTAGCTTACCCAATTCAGCTGTACCGCATGTCTTTGGACTGTGGGGGAAACCGGAGCACCCGGAGGAAACCCACGCAAAGGCAGGGAGAACATGCAAACTCCACACAGAAACGCCAGCTGAACTGAGGTTCGAACCAGCGACCTTCTTGCTGTGAGGCAACAGCACTACCTACTGCGCCACTGCCTCGCCGCTGATGCTTGTATGATTTTTAAAAATTTCAATGGATATGCTTCACCTCCATTATGTGAGTTTGTGACACACCAAAATAACAATGGTCGAGCAACACAATCTATTACCAGAGGACAGTGCTGTGCAGTTTAGATGTACGACTTTTGAACGGTCAGTCTCTTCAGTAAGAGCCAGTCATTTCTATTCCTATTGATTTAAGAGGTATTACAAATTGTTCAACATTTAATTTTAAAGTTAGGAAAATTGCTACAAGCAAATGGAGTTTGTAATCATGTGTAATTCTTTTCTCTAACTTTTTATGAAATTCTTATATGTTTAATTTTTTTGTCGTATGTATTTTTACTGTTATTGCGTAAAAATGTGTGTTTTGGATTTTAGGTTGCCTTTTAAAATCTGGCAGGGGGCAACAGATAAAAATTAGCCATTGTGGCTAACTCTGGCTTATTATCAGTTTTAACGTTGATTAATGAGCATTGTTCCTGTTTAATAAATACATTTCAAATTTCACCTCTATAAATTGCAGTTCATAGTAAATACAATTCCGTTTAACAGTCTGAAGTGCTCTAGGGTGGAATGTCCCCATTTGCCAAAATGATTAGGTGTCATAAAGTGGCCAGCATAAATGAGTATTTTTACTCATTACATATAGATACATTTGATTAAATTAGTCAGTACCAAAGACAAAACTGTAACTAATTTAACAGTTCACAGTGCAAAGTTCACAGTGCAAAAATTAGTACAGCCCAATGATTTTTAAAGGAAATATTTTAAGTTAACTTTTTATAAAGAGGAAAACTCAAGAGAGGCATAAACATATTACATTTAGTTGAAATGGTCACACTTTATTTTGATGGTCCGTTTGTTTAATTTAAGTTACATTGCATCTACATTACAACTAATTCTCAGTAGATTAAAACTAGACTTTTAGGTTGGGCTTAGGGTTAGTGTAAGTCAACGTGTACTTGCAAAGTTTCTTATAGTTCGTTAAATGTCTGTTGAAGGAGCAGAATCAAAAGATATTAAGTAGACAGTCTACTAATATTTTGATAGACCATCAAAATAAAGTGTTACCATTGAAATTTTGCAGTACGTATTTTTATTTCGCTACACCTCATTATAGAAAATAAATAATAAAGGATTATTATTAAAATAAGAGTACTGAGAAGAAACTGCTGTTTTTGCGTGCAACTTTAATAGCTTGAATAAGATGCCTAAACAAAACGTCAGCAAAAAGTCTAATCTAAGAAAAACTTTTTTTTTTTGAAGCATACTTATGTAAATCATGAGTTAAACGCATCATAGTGTTTTGGTAAAATAACCCCCTGACAAACCTTGCTTTGATTGTTAAAAATTGACAGTTTTGTGAAATCCTTTTTATTTATTATTTTTTTTCAGTGCACCTCTCAGTTGCTGTTATTGCCTAAAAAAGCTTCACCAACTTTAAAAGAACTAGAATTAACTATTAATCTAGTTTCCGCTACAGATGTCATGCATAATGAAGAGAATATTCTTCCACAACCGGGAATGTGAGATATTTCTGTTTAAAATTTTATATTAGGATATATTCTTTTTTACTTAAGACTTAAGATTCTGGTATAACCTTAAGCATTCCCTATGTTCTTGCAAGTGACTTAAATATTTTACCTTTTATTTTGGGTGTACTCAAGTATCACTCAGATATAAATTCGCACTTTTATACACTACTTGTTTTTTATACCAAGAACTGGTTGAACTCCACCAAGGGCGATGATTCAGTCATTAAATATTCTCAGCTATGAACGATGAAACTCTTTTTTTTTTTCTCTCCACACATTGACAGCTCTGTGATGAAAGCCCAGGCATGATAGAAACAAACTTGATTACAACGAGAGTCACAAAACCATGTATAGGATTTTCTCCTGAAATACTGTCTGCATTTGCACAGTCCCCCAGGTCTTATGTATGCAAGTAAGCTTTACTCTACGAGACAACAGGATATGAGAGGCTTCATTTTAAATAACAGAGGTTTAGCTTTAGAAAACTCTGTTGAACTTGAAATCCCTTTGTCTGTCTTGTTTTTTCTCTATATTGCACTGGGCGACCTTGAGACAATTCTGTACAAATGCCAGCTGCAAACATTCACGCACAGTCTGGTCTTTACTGCCTCGATTAATTCAAGGTTCGAGTTGGATTTTCAGCATCAATCCATGGGTCTAAGTCACCTTTAGTTGATTCTACAACACTTTACAATGTAGATAACGTAGGTGGTCAGTGTGCATTGCATTTATGAATAGATTGTGTACTAGTGTCAGCTTTTAAAATGAACGACAGGTTGAAAATGGGTCTGTAATTGGTAGACAAACTAGATGAATCAGCTTCAGGTTTATTTAGGTGATTATATAGATATTTACATTACATATTGTCTACGCTATTGTTGTCTATTGAAAGGAATGCATCGATAGAGCTGCTATTTTTGTGCCAAGTAGCACTCCTTTGAAATTAATGTGGAACCAAGGTCCAGTAGAGGACTGTGGCCATCCAGAGTCAGACCCGGTGGTCAGTATGCAAATATATTTTTTTTAATTACGAAAAGTTTAGTTTTACATCACTTTTCTAAATCGATGGCTAAGTGACTGCACGGGCATTGCTGACAAAAAGCATATGTTTGTGTGCATAGAAATGTATTATCCTCCCCCCTTGTAAATTTGATCTAATCTGTGTTCTGAAACACACACTTCTCTCCTGATTTCACTTCTCATTCTAGCAGAGGGAGCGATTCGTTTGTGAATGAATCTCCGTTATGAACGACTCGTTTACTTAACGGACAATAATACAAGCTTCTAGCACTCCAGCATCTTGTTGTCGTATTCCATTTACATTGTTTGCTGCTTTTATTCAACAAAACTAGCATAAGCCGAGTGTTTAGTGTGAGTTGGTGCTACTTTGGCTTGTGGTGAATGCAGTAAGTGACTGTATTATCATTAATAATGTTATTTGAGCACAGAAGTTTGTAATATACAAAAATTCTTAAATCTAAATCTTACCTATCAAATGTTCTGTTTTTATGCTTTGTTTTCTTTGTTTGCCCATTACTACATCTGTACACTGCGCTTATGCCGAGTTCAGACTGCATGATTTTTAAAGTAGTCGTGTCAGATGTTTTCACACTGCATGACTATCTGGGCTTGCGTTTCGTCGCTGCTTTGTTTACACTGCAAGATGAATCGGCGACAGGGACATTCACATTGCATGACTTTACTATAGGAAGAATCGCTGACAACTTCGTCCAAACTACGTCTCACAGCCGAAAACACATAGTATATCTCTTGTTATTAACTACATAATGAGAAAGAAGCCTTTAACGGGGTAGAAAATGTACATGTTTGCTCACCTGGGTTTAAAGGGAATTAGCCATTTCTCCTCAACGTTAATAATAAACTAATTTCTTTCTGTATGAAACGTCAAACAGACACAGTTGCTCCTGAGTCCTGTCAAACCTCAACTAGTTTTTTCTCTATTTCGTGGGTCCAAATAAACCGAAAAAAAGCGCTTTTAACTTCTCCCCCAGCCTCCCGCTGGTCTGCAGCAGTTAACGTTATACACACATGCACACACAAGTGAAAGCTGCTCTCTCAATGGCTGTAGGTGATCGCTGATGTTATTTTCAGTCAAAACTCACACGGCATGATTTGAATCGCCGACAGCTCCAGATATTTAGCATGCCAAATATCTCACAGGCATCGGCGACTCATTGGCGATTTTCTCAGATCGCATCTTTGAAAGTTCATACTGTGTGATTGTCACTCACGTGCACGAGCAGCAATTTGCCTGTGATTTCAGGCATTTGTCGGCGATTTCTCAAAACCTGTCCGCGAGCCAAAATCGGGGCTAAAATCACGCAGTCTGAATTAGGCATAAGGTCCAGCATCTTCACATTGGCTTTAGTCTTGACTAGTGCGGTTGAATGACATTCGATTACAGCAATTTTTCTATAAGGGTGTACTCACACTAGGCTATACGAACCGTGCCCAGGCACATTTGACCCCCATTTCTCAATTGGTTTGAAAAGTGTGAGTGCTCTTGAATCTGGCTCAGTCATGGTTCAGACACGGCCCATTTCAAAGAGATATGCCAGGGCATGGTTTAGTTGGGCTTTGGCATGGTATGCTTATATTGTAAGAGCAAAGCACGCCTGGGCGCGAAACTGTAGACCAATGTAATTTTTCAGGGACTGTTTCGTATGCATTTATTAATCATTCTTACTTTTCAATATCGTAAACTGTCATAGTTTATTAAAGATACAAACCCCGTTTACATGTGTACCTACACTAGTCTCAAGATTCGGTTAGGATTATCACTGCATTCATTGGGTCTAATTTGATATCTCGGTGCATAATGGTGCATTGATGATGCTTTCAATTAACAATTTGATATTTTACTTAGCAACACAATTCATTCATTCATTTTCTTGTCGGCTTAGTCCCTTTATTAATCTGGGATTGCCACAGCGGAATGAACTGCCAACTTGTCCAGCACTTTTTTTGCTGCAGCGGATGCAATTCCAGCCGCAACGCATCTCTGAGAAATATCCACACACACTCATTCACACACACTCTTACACTATGGACAATTTAGCCTACCCAATTCACCTGTACCGTATGTCTTTGGACTGTGGGTTCTGATGTACTTGCCTGTCAGTGAAAGACTGTCCAGGAAACTCACAGGCAGTAATTTGTGTACAGTTATCTGCTTTTTAAGTAGTTGGAGCTTTCAATTACTAGCTGTCTCCTCCCTTGCCATAGTAAGCTACCGCCCTATAACGTATATGTTATTAATGAGGTAACCGGTTATGATTACTACTGAACCAATACTGAAATGTTTACATCTGCATCACGGTGAAAAAAAGAAGCAATTAATTCTGACACCCCTAAACCCCTCGCTGCGCAACAGCTGCCACCTTTAGCAAACCTCCTAATACCTGCAGCATGATGACTTTCATGAATATTTATGAGCATCATAAGTGGTGGATCTGTTCAGCAAAAGATTTAACTGATTTTGTGTCACTGCATATAAAACGACTTGAAATAATACAAAACAATATAACTAAAGCAATCTCCATTGTATGGAGCAAGAGTGCTTCTCTTCTGTTAAAATGAACTGCCACATCATAGATGATGTAAGCATGCTCAGGCTGGGAAGGCAAAAAATGCAATGTGAGTGCGGGTCGAGGAGGAGGAGGAGTGACAATCTCACCTGAGCATAGACCAAGACAACCGTGCCTAGTGTGAGTACACCCTAAGTGAAGATTGGACAGATCCAGAATCCAGTGAGGTGGGAATAATATTAGTAATCAGTGTCATAGGAAGAGGATCAAGCGGACAGGTGGTGGTTTTTAATTTACGAACACGACACAGTTTTTCATGAGTAAATGGTAAGGTAATTCCTACCCTCAAAAGAGGGCACATACGCAAGCACTTATAGAAAAAGAAATACTGTATGTTGGCAAAAAAAATAAGCACAATAGTATGCTTTTTGGCCCGTGCACTTTTCCTGCAACCCAAGATACCAATTTCCTGTCTCATTTCTTTTCTCTCCCAGGCCATGAGCTCCCATTCTTCATCCTCTATCACTCTTTGAGAAGTCAGCAAGACCATTTGAACATGCCCAGCGAGCCCCTGCAGGAGGCCTTTATTTCTGGCCAGCTGACAGATGCCTCTCCCAAGACTCCTCACTTCACCCTAAAAACCAGAACACATACTCCTAGGGGTGAGTGCACTTTACATCAACAGAGCACACACATGGCCTATTCGGTACAAAAAAATCATTAAAAGCATAGCAAGGGTAGTGCCTTTTCTAAGGGTTTTCTTGACTGTGTGTGGCTGTGTGTCAGGCCAGTGTGACTTTCACTGCATTTTCTCTATTGTGGAGTTCTGTGAAATGGAAATATGTCAAATTGAGCTGTGGTAATCTTATTGGTAGCTGAAGCCTGAATATTTCATCAATTGCAAGGGTCAGGGGACATGTAGAGCTTTGTGACTGATGAAAAGCTTCATTATACCGAGGTTTCTGCTAAGGTCTGTAGGTCTGCAGAGTCAGTGTGCAAGGGCAGAGGGAGCCCTGTATTATCTGTACTTGATGTTTTAATGATGAGCGAGAAGATGGCATTATTAGTATGGCAACAAACAAAAATCTCAAGCATTCATTGCAGGGTGAGTCTATTTAGAATACAGTTTAAAAAGCCCCTGCAATTCTGGATTTGTGTTTTTATATCTGTAATATCTAATATAAAAGCGGCACGGTCGCTCAGAGGGTAGTACTTCAAGCATAAAATTCCAACGTTCGCATTTCTCCCCCACAGTCCAAGGACATGCAGAATAACTAAACTGGATTTTAAAAAGTGCTGTGGTAAGTGTGCTACCTCAGATAAAGCAGAAAATAATATTAAGTGTGTGAGGGAATGAGTGAGTGAGATCTGATATAGTAACATCACAAAGCAAGAGTCCTGTTTTCCAGAATATCAGCAAACAAGCACTGCAAACTTTAGCCGAGACTTACTAGAAATATGTGCCTTAGTTTACATTTTTACAAATTGTAAAAAATGTTGCTCTTGGTACATTTTGTTCACGTTTCAGATAATTAATCCACTAGAGGGTGGTGTCTATTTCTGCAAATTTAAAATACTTTACTTAGGATAGTTTTGTCATACATTTCATTGCATGTCTCTCTTGTACATCTCCTGGAGAAGGCAGGCTGTTGTACAGATACTAATTTACTGAACAGTTCCAAAAATAATAAATTAATAATGATTTAGTTAGATTTCTGATTTAATTAAATAGTAGTTTGTATGTTCCATCAACAAAAAATGAGATGGCTATTCATTTATAAAACATTTATGCATCTCCAATGTGTTGTTTTTGAATGAGTATGCTTTTAAACAAATCGATTATTCTCATTAAGACCTCATTCTATTTTATACCCATCTGTCTACACCTACGCCTACCCCTTTGCCTTTCCCTTGGCCCTTGAAACATAGTCTGAAGGTGTAGGGGTAGAAATATCCTCCTAAGAAACGGGACAGCACTACTACACATGTAACTTCTACAATTGTAAGTAGCGCAGGTTGCGAGTGCTGCAGACAAAGCATTTTTATTCATTAATAAGGAAGTTGAACTTTAAATGCACTGTGAGAGCGTTCTGTATAAAAAAACATCACGTTTTAGACATCACGAACTCCAGCACCAATGCTATTGATACAGTTGTTGCCTAGTAACATAAAAATCAGAACCAAAGGCAGTGAGGTGCATTCACCTTTTGAACTTCTGGGTTTGGCGAGATGCACAAAACTATACTTTGTATTTACAGTGCTCATTTTCATGGATGGTACCACAAGAAAACAACATACTCTTCCAGATATTATGTAAAAAGGGTTTTCACAGCCACCAGACTTTTCTGATAGACTTGCCTATTCTGTCAAGTCATCAGGTTAGGTTACTCCCAGCAGGCACAGAACCTCAATAACCCAACATCGTGGGCACGTTACATTTTTTTTGCAAATGAAAATCGGGTTGACGTCAGAACCTAATGTCAGGCCGACGTCAATGTCCAACGTAAAATCAATTGAATATCATCTTCTAATGATGTTACTGCTTGATGTTGTGTGGACGTTACCACTATGACGTCTATCAAACGTTGGATTTTGGTTGTCATACCTGACAGATAAATGTCAGTATTTGACATCAATATGACGTTGGTTTAAGACATTGGCTTGATGTTGGATTTTGGTCTCTTTCCAACACAAACTAAAATCAACCAATTATCAACATTATTTGACACTGTTAATGGACACCAAAATAACATTGTTGTTAGACACTGGCTAGACATTGAATTTTTTTCACCTGACATCACGACTTAAATCTAACCTAATATTAACATCTTATAATATTGTGTGCCTGCTAAGCTGAATTTAAAATATGTTTTCTAATATTTTGCATCGGCTATGAAGGGACTGTTGTTAGCAAAATTTAGCAGGTTTTTTGTTTAAAAGAGGAATGATCTTTAAAGATCATGACCGTAACACCTTAACACATGTAACAAATCAGATGTTTGTTTATATAAAAAAATCTTATTAATGCACATTTTTTGTATTTGTGCGTCTCCTTGCTCAGTTTTGCAGTTTTGTTGCTGCTGTAGTCAAAAAAAAAAAAAAAAAATCTCATACCCATTCATTTGTAATGTGGTGCTGAAAAATCTCAGTTTGAAGGGCTTTATGGCTGTTCCCCTTACCCATATGCCTCCAAGCTAAAGAGAAAACCCCCTATTCTTTCATGCGAACATGTAAAACGACAGGTAGGGGTAAGGGGAGGAGCTGAGGGCTAGAATTGGGATTGGGTCTTAGTTACTTAAATTATTCAAATACTCAAAATGACTCATTTAGACAAGACTGCCACCTACTGATGCTTTTGCTGTCATGTTAATTAATCAATGACAGGCCTAATCCAGCTTAGATACCAGCGCAAAACACACTTACAACAGCAAAACTATTGTTATTGAATTAATCTCCAAAAACTAAATGTAAATGTTTTTTTTTAGCTATTTGCACTGGCTTGAATACAAAGCATATAGACTAGAGTAGTCATGTAGGTCTTTTAATAAAAACAATGAGTTTAAAAAAAAAACAATGACAGCTTAAGATTTTGTATGTTTCCTTGTTGATTAATAGTACAAATTAAAAAATTATATATAAATTTATTTAATTTTTTTCTTTTAATGAACAAGAAAACATACAAAATCTCAAGCTGCCGTTTATGCTCTAGCTAGTGGCCAACTGATATGCTTGAAACTTTTCATGATTTACCTTGACGGCAGTGCAAAGCGGAATGGGATCTTCTTATCCTTGAATGTTTACAGTGCAGTGAGAGATGTAGGCCTGGAGGAGAACGACAGTAATCTTACACACACAAAGGTTTTCAAGGAGAATGTTGAGTCAGGTGGTTGTCTTCAGGTCTGTGCTTATAGTTGACTTGCGTTTTAGTATTTTAAGAACTATTGAACTCAACATCCATTTTTTTCCTTTATGTGCAACCGAGAAAACTGCATTTCTCACATTCATGTTAAAAAAACCAATCATCATCAGATAAAGCGCTATGGTAAAGGATGTCTTCTTAAATCTGTATATATGTTAATCTGTATTTGTGTTAGATTTATTTTGAAGCTTTGCATTGTCTGATTGAGTGTAGCACTTTGAAACATTAAGATATTTGCACTTTTTTTTGTTTGGAATTTGACATTTCCCTGAAAATGCCATGTGCCCTAAAGATTGTTAACCTTAATTGTAGGTACTAAAAGTGCCTCTTTGTAAAAATTCTCTTAAGCATTAATTAACATACCTACACGCATAAAGGTAATGGCATTTCTCTCTCTGCAAATGTCATGAAATTGTTTCTCAGATTTTTTTCTTCTATTTTTCATAAGTTTCATAAGCAGACATATGATAAGGTCAGCCTAATCTCATGAAAAAACCTAACTATTTTGCATTTTGTCATTTTAGTGGCTAATTCATACAAATACATACAATTTCAGTCTTATGAAAATGTGTGATTTTTAAAAGGAGGCATGACACCAAACCTCATCCCTAAACGCCACTGTTAATGGGCACAGATCAAATCTTACTAAAACATATGAATGAGATTGTCCAAATTAATAAAAATTAGTCTTTAAATCAAAAAGTTACAAATTGGCTTGAGATTGTGTTGGATAAGGTACTGCAAATCCTTAAAGTGGAGAATGATATGTGAAGTCCTATGCAGGTATACCTAACTCCTCTGACCGCAAAAAGTGTTCTAACAAAAGTCGCTAGAGGTCATGGTCTTTAGCCCCTTGTTAGAGCAACCAAATCCCTTACAAGGAATCGCCAGTTCGATCCCAGCTCAGACCGGTTTGGGTGCAGTAGGACCAGCGTGTTACATGTTGGGGCTTATTTCCTTTTGTCTTTTATTTTTGAGCAGTCATAAATCAATAAATGATAAAAACACAATGTTAATGTAGAGGGGAAATTAAAGAAATAACGGCATTTTTTGATTACATAGACAAAAGGTTTTGTTTTTGGGAGAGTAGGATATACAGTACACAAATTAATTGTAGGAGTGTACCAGTGAAGAAGATCAGAGAGGTAATCGATGGCCAGGTTGTGAAGAGCTTTGTAAGTTAATAAAATAATTTTATATTGTACAGGATCAAGAACAGGAATCCAATGCAAGTGAAAGAGAATTGGAGTTATGTGTTCGGAAGCACGCAAGCGGGTGACTATCCTAACTGCTGAGTTCTGGATTAACTGTAATCTGTGAAGTTTGTTAAGAGGGATACCAGATAGAAGGGAATTGCAATAATCAATCCTTTATGGATAGTGAAGGGTCTTGCAATGTCATGTAAGTTCAACAAAGCAGATTGTGAAATATTACTAATATGTAAATTAAACGAAAGCATACCATCTAGTATAACCCCAAGACTTAGCCAATCATTTAGCCTATAATGATAGTAATCGCAGAGTCTGTCTTGTACACACTAAAAAATAAAGGTTCTTTGTTGGTGTAGATTGTTCTTTGAAGAACCTTTATCATCCATGGAACATTTTTATTGTAAAAATGGTTCTTTGCACTTTAAAGTGGTTCTTTACGTGATAGCATGCTTGTGATGATGTTTTACTGAAACATGTGAAGTGCAAAGCTTCATGTAGCCTACATATAAAGTCATTTGTATGCCACGTAAGATATGTACAGTAGCTTACAATTCTGAAAATGATAATTAGATAAAATCCAGTTTATCTGTTGCTTTAGCTGGTGTAACCTTGTTAATTTTATATGACACTGAAGCGCAGGATTTGGAGATGGGGTTTAGCAGAGACACTTTTATGTGGCCAAATGCAAATGGAATGGTTTTCACAAATCAGATACTGTAGCAGTCTGTTCAGATAAAATGCATGAAACGACATGTTGTAAACAGTCCCTTAGATGCCTAGTTATTGGTGTAAATCTAGCACCTGATGGTAATTTCCTTAATTATTTGACTAACCCTTTTTAAAGGGATAGTTCCCCCAAAACATCAACATTTTCCTTTACCATTTACTCTCCTTCAATTGTTTACAAAACTGCTTGACTTTCTTTCTTCTTCTGAACATACATAGAACATGTTTGAAGAATGTTCAAAATTTACTATGGAAGTCAATGGTTACAGGTTTTGAACATTCTTCAAACTATCTTCTTTTGTGTTCAGTAGAAGAAAGAAGGTGAAGCAGGTTGAGATAAGTGAAGTTTGAGTGAATGATAGAATTTTTATTTTGGAGTGAACTGTCCCATTAACTGGTGGCCCAGGTATTTACTAATTTTCCAAAATGTTGAGCAGTACAGAAGTGGCAGGAACCTTCCGACAGCAGGTTGTCCATATGAAGACCAAAAGAAAAGGAGAAAAAGTAAAGCCATTCAACAACACTTTGAATAACGTCCCAAGGGTGCAATTATTTCTGCTATTATATTCTTGCTATTTTTCTTTTTTTTTTTAGACATAAATGTGCAAAGGTTTCCAACTAATATCTGTCATATTGTCATGATTGTTTTTTTAAGGAAATAATAGGTGAATCCATTTTAGGATAAGGCTGTAGTATCAAACATTATGCTATTATAAAATTAAAAACATGAGGGAAATTTACAGCACACTCAGTCCAACTGAGGGACATTTATTTTTACATTATTTGTAGTGCGACTTGATTTGATGTGATTTATTTCTGAACTTCACTAAAGTGAGGATGCCTTGTAATCAAAGCACAGTGTACTAGCTAAGAAAAAAGTGGACTTACCCAATGGCACTGCAAGAAAATTAGGGACATCAAAGAATTTTATCAGACATATTGGTTTAAGCTAAATAGATGAGACTTGAGAAGCCTAAGTGGTAGAATTTTAAGGAATTTAATAGAAGATGGACACAATTTTCTTTTTGTTTGCATAATTCAACAAGAGATTTATTTTACGTAACAGTGTTTTCTTCCAGTAATGCAATGATTAGTCTATTGTGTATGATTGACAGGTGCGTTGCTGAAACACAAAAGAAAGAGGTCTCTGATTGATTGGGCTTTGAGAAGAGGACATTACAATCAGTCCGATGGTCAAACTGCCTCTCACAAGCTATTCGGACAGTCTCTTTCCTCCATCTGTTCTGATGGAAATTTGCCTAAGCCAATCATGGTAAGGATTGCATTGGCTCCAGACCTTCTTGTTTTAGTCTAAACAAGACACACACACTAATGTTTTAATACATCAAAGTATTTCTGTCATCATTCACTTGTTCAAACCTCACCAGTTTCTTTCCTCTATTGAGCACAAAGGAAAATATAATGCAGAATGATGAAAACTGCTAGCCGTTGACTTCCCCAGAGGTTTATTTGTTCCTACTATGTGTGTAGGTGTCTATTTTCTGTCAGCATTCTTCAGAATATCTTCATTTGTGTTAACCAGAAGATCTAAATTCATTAAAGTTTAGAAGCACTTGACTTGAGTTTGAGTTAACATTGAAAAAGTGTTTAAATATGGGTTAAATATCACTTTAATTCAAGCATGGCATATCGTGTACATGGTGTAAAATCTGATCTAAAATAGAAGCCAGTTTGTTCAAAGCTTTATAAAAAATATGTAGATAATTTTGGAACCTCTGTTCTTATAGCATCATAAATATGTTGGCTATATAATTAATATCAGCTGCCAGTGCAGAGCATAGCTGGTTTCATATTTGACCCTTTCAAGATGGGGTCGAATGCTTAATGGCTTATTCCCCAGCGAGAACCACTATCAAAGGTGGTTACAGTTGCATCATAAATTGGTCATTATTATTCTGTTTTAAAATTATCATTAATTTCATGGTCACGTTGCTCAACACAAGTCAAGTTGAGCATCTGTCTATTACAGGCTTAATCATTTTGTCCGTGTGTGTGTGAACGTAGGAACTGCTTTATCTGCTGTTCTGCGAGGGTCCAGAAACCTGTGGAATCTTCCGTCGTTCAGCAAATGCCAAAAACTGTAGGATCCTGAAGGAAAGAATGAATTCTGGCCAAAGTATTTCAATGCATGAGCAATCAGTATTCGTCTCTGCATCTCTAATTACAGTGAGAACACAATCCTTTCAGCTACATGGTGATACACTCTGTAGAAAATTTCACACAGATTGTTTCTTATCTTCACTCGTGAGCTTCTTATAAGTTCAGTGGTTTGAGAATACTCTGTGCCTACAGCATGTTGAAAAATGTATTCATTAGGCTTTTCATTCTTTATTAAATTACGTGCATAGGAATTCTTGCGAAAGCTGCCTGGTGGTGTTTTGTGCTGTGAATTATATGAGGACTGGATGGAAGTGCTGCAGACTGAAGATCAACAGGAAAGGCTTAACAGAGTCAGAAGGTGAGAACAGTACCCAAATGTACACATCTACATATGTTTGTACATACAAGCACACTATATAGTGAGGGAAATAAACATTTAACAAGTCACCTTTTTTTTCATATTTCTAAATGTGCTGTTGACTTTTTCACCAGATGTTGGTAACAACCAAAGAAATCCATATACATTATGCAAAGAACACAACATTAATTAGTTTACAAATGAAGTTATGTGTTATAAAAAAACGACACTGGAAAAAAGTATTGAACACATGAAGAAAGGGAGGTGTAAAAAGGCATTGAAAGCCCAGACAGCAGCTGAAATCTCTCAGTAGTTATTCAGCAACTCTCTGCCTTTGTTAGTATAAATTAATATTCACTGCTTCAGGATATGATCGCCCTGATTTTATAGTTTGCAAAGTTAAAATATAAAGAAATGAACAGTCATTTAATGCTACATTTGTCATTCGTAATTTAATATACACACATCCAATTTCTTATATCAATATAAAGATAATCATGTTTATATAAGCACTAAATGAGGAGGACTTCTCTTCAATCCCCGGGTCTGAATGCAGACACAGTGAATAGCAGTGCACCAGGTCTCTTGGGCTGTCTATTCCAACCTTAAACCCAGTGGTAATATGTATGATTTTAAACATAGGCAAACACAGACTCATGAATAATTAAGAAGAAGGGTCTTCTTCTAAGACAACTCCGCTATGAATAACAATGAGAAACTGACGTGCCATCACTCGACAAGCAGATTTGTGCTACGTAACTGATTTTGATCGCACCCCAAAAATTATTTTAAATGAAGATGAAATTAGCTGACAAAAGCTCAAAGTTATCCAGTTTTCACCACAATTAAAGCTGACAGGTACTAACTTTGTCCTAACTGATGCTCAACACTTTTTTTTTTTTTTTCAAAAAGTGCTCAAGGGTGTCTTGAACCTAGGAGCTGCCATCAACAAAAAAGCCTTTTATATAAAGTATTAAATACATTTCAGTAGTTCAGTACTTTCTCCTTGTGTCATTCCATTGTTATTAAACATAACAATTTTGTTTTGTTTTGTTATATCTTAAAGTCTGTTTGGGTTTTTTTCTTTATTCTCAGGACATGTTGAATCCCCCCAACCACCCCCCCCCCTCCCCGCGCCAACACACACACACACACACACACTGTATGTATAAAGCTTTTATTAAAATAATGTTTTTATAGAACTCCAAAGAATATATAACATCTTTTGTAACGGCACAAGCCACAGTGCCAGGACTAATTAAATTATTTATCCATAAAAAAAGAGCACAGTAATTAGCATAGTATTTTCTTATTTTTATATTTGAATTCAATTGAATTGCTTTTTATATGACCTAGTGCGGTCCTTGAAACAGTGTTCAAATGAAACCAAGTGAAAGCAACCGTGCAACTTTTGTGTGTGTAGCTAGAGTATGATATATGCAAACATCTGTCCAGAGACAACAAATAAAAATGCCTTCTGGCCAATTCTGGTGCATTTGCAGCAATACTAATTAAAGTACACTGTCCCTGCCAAATAAACAAATAAAATAAATGATAACTTTGCAGTAACTGCCATCATACAAATACACCTACTGTACTCATAGGTTTAAAATTCTACATATAAAATAGCAAAATCGCATATTTTCTTGATTATATAAAATGTACAAATAGATACTTTGTGTACTCACTGAGGATAACACCATATTTAAAACACATTAAACAGTGCAAGTAGTTGATCTGTCAGCAGCACATGCATCTACCTGATGAGGCGAAGATGTAGTTTACGATTAAGCTTTGAACTAAAGTGTTAATTATAACTTGTGAGTTATTGAAGAGAGTTAATGTGTTGATCAACTGAAAGAACATCAAAGTGTTATTAAATGTTTCTTGGGAGCACAGCAGCATTAATGCTCAGCTGGAGCACTTTAATTGATATGATAATTTTCAGGTCCATCTGAATCCTGACTGAATTCTGTTGATTTGAACTGGGGCTTTTTTTATTAATGTCTTCATGCCTTCAATGTTTATAGTCTGTGCTTGCTTAGAGGACATTTAAAGCTGTTTTTTCCTAGTATTTGAAAACAATTTAACATAGAAGGGTCAACTCTTATTAAAAGTTTGTAAGTCCAGGATATCCGCAGGGTCTTAAAAAGTTATAAAATGTCTTAAATCGCAAAAGCTAAATTTTATGCACTAAAAAGTGTTAAATCTACTGAAATACAGTGCATCCAGAAAGTGTTTATAGCGCTTCACTTTTTCCACATTTTTTTTTATAAAAAAAAAAAAGAAAGCCTGAAAAAAATCACTTGTACATCAGTATTAACAGCCTTTGCTCGATACTTTGTTGATGCACCTTTGGCAGCAATTGCAGCCTCAAGTCTTTTTGATTATTCAAGCTTGGTACACCTGTCTTTAGGAATTTTTTGTCCATTTCTCTTTGCAGCACCTCTCAAGCTCTATCAGGTTGAATGGGAGGCGACAGTGTACAGCCATTTTCAGATTTCTCCAGAGATGTTCAATATGATTTAGGTCTGGGCTCTGGCTGAGCCACTCAAGGACATTCACAGAGTTGTTGTGAAGCCACTTGATATTTTAGTGGTATGCTTTAGGTAGTTGTCCTGCTGGAAGATGAACCGTTGATCCAGTCTTAGGTTAAGAGCACTCCGAAGCAGGTTTTCATTCAGGATGTCTCTATACATTGCTGCATTCATCTTTCCCTCTATCCTGACTAGTCTTCCAGTACTTGCTACTAAAAAACATCCTCAAAGCATGATGCTGCCACCACAATGCTTCACTGTAGGAATGGTATTACCCTGGTTATTCCAAAGAGTTTCATTTTAGTTTCATCAGACCAGAGAATTTAGTTTTTCATGGTCTGAGAGTCCTTCAGATGCTTTTTAGCAACCATACAGGCCTGATTGGTGGATTGCTGCACTTCTGTAAGTTTCTCCACTGTCCACAGAAGAACGCTGGAGCTTATACAGAGTGACCATCGGGTTATTGATCACCTCCCTGACTAAGGCCCTTCTCCCCCTATCACTCAGCTTAAATAAAAGTGAAGCACTATGAATACTTCTTGATGCTCTGTATAACATGGACATAATTTATTACTCAAAGATTTATTGAATTTGATTTTTTAACTTTAAAAAACAGATTCATCTTATCATTCATTTTATTATTAACTGGGTTTGTATTTATCATCAAAATGTACATTAATTTAGTGAGAGAATTTAGTGTTTAGTAAAACTGAAAAAGAAAACAGCATTAATATATGGATAGTTTGCCTGGGGGTGCTAAACAAACAAAGAGTATTATTCAAAAAATTATTACAGATATTCTGGTCTCATGAGATGTTGCTAGTCGGGCAGTTAGCTGGAGGCGAAGTAATAATATAATATGTGTTCTGCTGTGCAGGTTTTTTACATTTGATGTACTGTTTGATGTACTTGTGAAACCATATCTCAGTGCATAATCTACATAATATGTATAAAGTGCATAATCTCAGTGCAGTTGCTTACTATTTAAAAAAAATCTGTGGTTATCAATATCAGTCCTGGAGACCCACAGCTGTGCACATTTTGTAAGCTTATCTTATCTGTCACACGTTTCAGTTGATGGAGCTCTCAAGTAATGAGCTGGTGAACTGAATCTCTCTATATCTCTCTGTGTGTATGTATTTATTACAGGAATGCATTCCTCATATCTACTAGAGGACAGACAAACAGCACTAACAGAAAAAAGTATTTGTTTTGTGATTCTGCTTAGCAGGTTGCATTCGACTGCCTGTGTAAAAACTGTATTGTTTTTTTGCCTTTGTTTAGTTTGCTCACACAGCTGCCGGAGGAGAATGTTACCTTGCTGTGCCACTTGTTTGGAGTGCTGCACAGAATACACACTCACTCTGAGGTAAATCAGATGACAGCAACAAACTTGGCCCTTTGCATTGCACCTAATATGCTCTGGAGGTCTTCCCAAGTCAGCCCAGAGAAGGAGGGACAAGGCGTTTTGCAGGTAACATTTCAGCATCTGCTTCTTTCAATATTCCTTTTTAGGTAACCTAACATTTTACATCAACATATTTAATAAAGGTTTTTAAATATTCCAAATGTTTAAAATTTTTTTCCAGCTGACAAGTTTAAATGACACTTTTAAGGGGTACACAAACATTTTCGTATGAAGGGCCAATAACCAAATATCATTGAGAGCCATGGGCTGAATGTAAATATATAAAACAATTTTACATTAAAGTTGTCATGGTTAATTTCCTAATTATTCAGAGTGTTTCAAAATAAACAGAAAACATTCATTTAAATCGTATTAACATAGTATAACACAGTCAATGCTGAAATACACTAGTCATGTAGCCTTTGACTTGATTTGCTCATCAAAGTCTCTGCATTCTCGGGTGACAGAATATACCTGTACAGTTGATTGCAGAATTATTGGCCCCCCTTAAACATTTTTTTTTAGTTTCTTGAAAAATATCTAGTCAAATATTATTTACTGCCATCATGGAAAAGATAAATTAAATCAGCTATTAGAAACGAGTTATTAAAACTATTATGTTTAGAAATGTGTTGAAAAAAAAATCTTCTCAGTTAAACAAAAATTGGGGAAAAAAATAAACAGGGGGGCTAATAATTCTGACTTTAACTGTACTGTACATTTAAACAAACTCTGAATAATTTACACCATTTAGCTGAAAAAATAAAACATTAACAATAAAACAAACAAACAAAGGGTCACATGAAAGTCGAATTGACCATCTCGAAACCATCATTCTCCCTCTGTTGTCAGATGGGATGGCGGGCCAAATCAAAGGTTACCATACACTAACTTTGGTCCACATGCCCAAATTTTGCATCTCTGCTTTAAATGCTTAAATTTGAGCAAGCTATCAGGATTTTGAACACCACGATTTGTGCATACCAATTTAGGGATATCCCAATCAGATTTTTTTGACCTCAAGTCTGAGTCATTTGATTTTGAGTATCTACCGATACCGAACACCAATCTGATACTTTTATAATACATAAAGAGTTCAAATTGAGGTTCTGCAGTGGTTTTTGAAGTGTCTTATCAGGATTGTTGTGTTAAATGTAGCCTTTTCCTTTCAACCTCTTCCAATGCCAAGTTTACATATTTCACAGTTGGCTTTGGCAATGTTGTCATCATCAACTTTACAATACCTCCTGACCACAGACATACTCGCGATTTCCGCTTCAAGCTGCTTCCGTGTTCTACTTTGCCGGCATTTAACCAATAGCGTCTCTGCAACAAAGTGATGTCATGCCGCACACGTTGTTGTTTCTTAGTGAAGTCAAGAAAGAAGTCTAACTCTATGCCACCTCATAAATATAGATGTGTTAAAATTTAATGAGATATATACATATATAGTCGAGTTCTCATCAGGAAGTACTGTCTGATTCCGATTGAGTCTGAAACCGCGTGATCGGGTCACAAGATAGGTCACACAAGACAAAAATGAATATAATAAGTATTGTCATCATTAAATAGGCCGTAATTGGTTAAACATTTCTTTTTCTTTCATGAACCTTTTGTTATAAAAATTTTAATTAGTGGTCCACTGTAATGTTTTTGTATCATAATAAAAGAAAAATAGATTCAGCTATAAATTTAAATTTGATATGTTCATTGAAATATTGATCCATTCATTTTCCTATGGCTTGGTCCCTTTATTTATCAGGGGTCACCACAGCGGAATGAACTGCTAACTTATCTAGCACATGTTTAACGCAGTGTATGCCCTTCCAGCTGCAACCCAGTATTGTGAAACACTCGTACACTCTCACATGCATACACATACACTAATTTACCTTATTCAAAACACCTATAGTGCATATTTTTGAACTGTGGGGAAAACCGAAGCTTCCGTGGGAAACCCACGCAAACACTGGAACAACATGCAAACTCTACACAGAAACACCATTTGACCCAGCCAGGACTCGAACCAGCGACCTTTTGCTGGAAGGCGATAGTGCTAATCACTGAGAAACTGTGTCGCCATCTTGACAAGTCATGGAGAAAAAATGTATTCATAATTTCATATAAAATAAATAGCACTATATGAAGATAAATGTCTAAGGAGTCATTTTTTCCCTAGTATTTGCTGTCACAAAAAAGTAAATCAAAATTGATAACGTTAGTGAACGCTTATACTTTATATACCCTTCAAACATCAAACCTCCAGCTGCATATGTATTTTATCTTTAAAAATTTTTACAACAAAAAAGCAGTTTTACTATGTAAAGGGGCACAGATGCACTCCTACAGAGGCACAATTTATGGGAATGACCATATTTTATCCATGACCTACAGAAGAGAAAAAATATAGTCGTTTATAATTACTGTATAGTTACTATGGTAGCTTATAGTTACTAGTTCTATTTGATTGCGACCCCAGTGGTAATTACATTATATTAAAGACACAGCAATAGCGTCAGATGCAGCAGATTGATTTTTATAACACCAGGTTAAAGTTTCTGGCCCATTTACAGCACTGACATTAAACGAAGAATACACCTGGGTGTATTGGTGTGTGTGTGACATTGCATGTATTCATAACCAGGATATTGGGGGTCGCGAGTCACTGGCATCGTCATATTAGGGGTCGCAGGCTGAAAAGTTTGGGAACCCCTGATCTAACAGATTGAAGAGGGGGGTGTGGGGAGATTGTCATGAGCAATGCTGGGCCTTCCATAACTTGCGTAGTTCATGTACAGTGCTCTGAATAATTGAGTACACCCCATTTTGAAATTGAATATTTGTATCCAATGAATGAATTTGGTGCATTTATTCAAAACAGATTTATTAAACAGATATATTTATTAAAAATTTATTTTAGTTCCCAAACATATTTAGAAATTGAAAGATAATACAATTATAATCAAGAAAAATATTGCCAAAATAAATTACAACCTACAAAATTTCAACTAAATTTTTCCTTTTTTTTTTTTTTGCTTCTCTAGATGTTTTCTTTTTTAGAAAAATCTGTATTTAATAATTTTTTATAAAATCAATTAGGGTGTACTAGTTTTTGGAACGTTATTGTAATTTATTTTGTTAGATAAGCTCCAGATTTGTCTTCAGTACTGACTAATCTAACGTATATGCACAGATATAATAATCTATAGCTTCCTATTAAAAATATTTATTGAAAAGATAGAATTGTTAGTACTGTATAGGACAGATTGGTACTGGCTGCTTTGAACATTATGAAATTGCACAGCTGTGCATTCATTGCCATTATCATGCATTGTCAATAGATCTCTTGCAAAACTTTCCACTCCCATTAGCAAATTTATTTGTATTGCTTTCTAATTTGTTGTGCTTAAAGTCTTTTTATTCTTCATTCCTTCATTAAGGAATAGAAGCAGTTTTACTTTAGTAACTGGGAGGTTATTAAAGGGTCAGAATCAATCAAAGACTGGGATTTTGTTCCGCAGGAAAGAAGATCTTAATTTGTATGCCAGCTTGAATTGTTCACAGTCATTGTTCCTGGAAAAACACAGTTTAAATCCACTGTCACCACAGGTAGTCATGCTGGAATAAAGTCCTTGAGCTTCAGCAATTACATCAGCACACAATCACCCGAATTTAAATAAGCAGCTTCTGTCTAATAAGGGTGCTGAAGAATGCAACAACCTGGTATGATATTAATTTGCAAATCAAACTGGTGTGTGGTTTTACTTCAAGTGAAACTCAGTTAATGTTGTGACTCAATGCTTATTATTGGCATAAAGCTGAAAACGGTTCTCTCCACTCTTCAGATAATAAATTGTAATGGATCTTGATGGCTTCTTTCTTAGTCATGAGTTGTTCTTGTAAATCTGCGCAGTTTACCAAGACAGCTGTTAACACATAAGCGGGGGAAGGCATTCAGCATTTTAAACACCAGGGACCTACTGTACAAAACTGTTACTATACTGGTGGCACAATACATGTTGTCACATATTTTAAATCAGGTTTGTTTATTGACCTTATTCTAAAATGCGGAAGTGCGCCTGTTTTCGCGATTGTCTTAGAACTTCCGATTCAGTCGTCTATGGGTGAAATGACTAGGAATAATAAACGGCAGAAAATTATCAAACTACTTGCTCTACAAACAAATGTTTGCATGAATACACAGACCAAGTAGAATAATATAATAAGAAAATATCAAATTGCAACATCAAGCAGCCTAATGAGCAGTTTTTAACGTCAAAAAAATGAATGGAAGTGAATGTGACCGGAAGTCGCAAGACAAAAAGATGCAAATGGCAGCGCCCGCTCGTCGGCGGAGAATAAGGTGAATACTGTAGTACTAAGCAAGGTAATTCACATGCCATTAATTGGAGAAAAAGTAACAATTGAGCATGTTAAACGTGATTTCTTACCCAACCTTTATGTTCAGGATCAATATGTCAGCTTTCTAATGGATGCTGTAGATGAAAAGACCAAACTCAGCTTCTGTTATGCTCATTGTAATCTCGCTAAGGTTCATTCAGCTTGCTTTCGAAAGAGTAAGGTTGTTTGGCGTTACAAAGCATTAGAGCCATTGACTCCACTGAACTAGCAGTGAAAAAGTAGTTGTAGAAAAACATGTCCAGTTTCTCCTGAACAATTTTCTATTGCTTTGTATGACAGGGAGATGATGAGTCATCCACTTCAGAAGCAGACATAGATGTAGGGTTTAACAATAGGGATTCAGTCCGGTTGACAAATTATCACTTAGACATTTGCTGCATTTTAGTGCCTGCTCAAATTGATAGAAGCTGGTGAATAAATATCACTCAGAATGGAAACATCACTTGAAATGTGTTAAAAACGCATCTATGCCTTAATTTTCCAGGAAGAGTGCGCTTATGAGTCTGTCGTCAACCAAAGCCATTTCAGCTCTGAATGGTTTACATATACAGCCCATCTCTGAGAATGAGTTCAGGAAAGAGATCCTTTATATATTTAAATCAGGGATGTGCGGTCAGGGGAGGCAGGTGAGACAGTGTCATTAT